TGAGTGTTTGCTCCCGTGTGTGTTCTGGTGCGGGGGGGGGGGGGGTACATTGTCCAGGTCCTCTTAAAATCCTAGCAGCTGACAACATACCCTATAAATAGTGTAGGATGGATCTGAAAAGCGCATCTGCTTCACATGGCGGAGTCGTGTGTATTCTTAGCCCGCACATAAGTGGAGAGTCATTCAGAGCTGTGTAGAAACTACTGATGGAGCTGATGGAAACTAATCATAGGAAGACAAAATGCAAAAACATAACAAAATGTTCAATTGATACAGAAGAATAGGCAGCTGATAATCTCACCTTTTTTTCTTAATGCTAGGCCCCGCCCCCTTACATCTCACATGGTTCCCTGTTGGTCAGAAAAGGCTGCTCATCACAATAAAAGACCAATGAGGAGACTTTGGATTTGGGAGCCATGTGGCCATTCTTGACTCAAGATCTGCATCTAACTTCAGCTGCCTATATCTCTGGATTTACTGACTGTTGTGACATGTTTTTAGTGATGGCAATGCCACTTTTATTTTATTTTTATCATTTGATTTGCTGTAAGCTCGCTGCACACACATTAACATTTAACTGTACAATCTCCTTCAAATCTACCAACACCTTTGTAATGCAAGGGCCTGCCTGATTGGATACAAATTGGATGGATAGATTAGGTAGGTCCTCATATTACATGCATTTGGTAAATCTAAAGGTGCTGCTTTAAGAGGTGGGCGCCACTAGGTGTGTGGATGGAGAACTTCTCCCTTGGGGGAATAGCAACTCTGAACCTTTGCCCCAGGTGACAGAATGCCTTCCCCAATGATCAGGGACATTGGTTGGCCATGTGTAGTGAATAGGTTGCCTATGCGGCAGGGCCAGCATGCTGCACAAGTGACAACATGTTTCTGTATGTGAGCGCGAGGGCTTGGCAGTGCTCAGGGCTTCTATAAAGACCAACATGCAAGGAATATGAATCAGGAGCATCAAGAGGCTGGTTTGGCTTCCTATTAATGAAAAAGGAGCTTTCATAGTAAAGGGCTGCTTGATGGGATGTCGCTGACCTATGCACAGTACATTGGGTGACCTATGTTGTTGAAGTGTAGCTTGTTCCGGCGTTCCCTTCCATCCCCCATATCTGTCTTGGATCATTTGCACCCCATTATTAGCGATGATCTGTTATATTCATTGGGCACCCCGTCAGGGCTAACAATTTTACCTTTTTCCTGAATAAGTGTCACCTGTTGCTATCATCATCAGACTTCCCATGGTGTGCTCTCAATTCTTATTTTGTATTGACAAAAAAAGAAAAAATTAATATGGCAAGATGAGGGTACGGGATGCAGCCACTAAAAATTGTTGGGGTGCATTGGTTCAAATGTGGTGGTATTATGTATGTGTATGTGCCAGGGATGCACCGATACTAGTATTGGTATCGGTGCCGATGCTGAGTATTTGGGCGAGTACTCGCCCAAATGCTTCGATGCCTAGCCCGATACCTGAGTTTCCGGTATCAGGAAGCCGGGCAGCGAGTGATTACACGCTGCCTGGCTTCCTGATAGGCCGGGGAGCCGGCTCCATCCTCCCTCATCACCAAGCGATGAGGGAGCATTAAGTCGGCTTCCCAGCCAATCGCCAATCAGTAAGCCGGGCAACGAGTCATTACACATCGCCCCGCAACCTGATTGGCCAGAAAGCCGGCTCCATGCTTCCTCGTCACTTGGTGATGAGGGAGCATGGAGACGGCATCCATGCTAATCAGGGGGGTTGTCGGCGGCAAGTGGTTCTATATTGTAATGGTGGAAGAGACTCAGGGAGTGCTAACGGTCCAAAGGGTAGGAGGAGCGCAATACCTGCCTTGCCTCGGTTGCTGACAAGCCACGCTCTGCCACTGCTCACAGAGCCTGACTTCTGAACTACAACTCAACTCCTGAACAATGTAACATTATCATTGCTTACCGGAAGCAATGCATGATGGGATATGTAGTCTTGAGAAATCGAGATTGCATCACATCAAGCAGCAGAGGCGCGTTCAGTTCCTTAGCCAAGCGCTGAGTAGCTGTTCTGCAGGGCTTCATTCGCTGCAGCAGCTTTGCTGAACGCTTCGGCTGCACAGTGCTAAGCAAAATGGCGGAGAGACACGTGCCGGGTGACTTCCTTCTTTTTATAGAATAACTCGTCACTGAATTTTATATACAGACCAGATCATTTATATAAAGCGTTCTCTATGCAAAGCACGCGCCAGTAACCACAGCCTCAAATCTGATTCCCTCGCATCGCTGAAGTTTACTGCCACCAGAGACCCTGAAGTTAATTTTAGGTTCAAGATAGCCTCCTGCCACCTTCCTGTCCTCCACCTGCCGCCACTTCTCAGACACACGTGGGCCGGCTGCCGGTCACTCCAGAGACACAAGAGAGAATATCATTGTTTACTACACTTTACAGCCATAGTGATAGAGAACGCGTCATTGTCCGCACTTTACTCACAGTTACACTCTGTTTAATATAAGTTTGTGACACCATGTGACATACAAGATTCAGATATAGATTTCTTTCTTTGCGACATTGTATTCTTTTCCATATTCTCTCTCAGTCTCTCCA